AAAAAAAACACATTGGATCTAGAGTCCAGACTCTTAAAAACATCGACAAGAAAAAATACTCTTGATTCAATCAGATTTAAGCTTAAATTAAGAACCAAGCCTCTTAATTTGAGCGGATTTTTTTTTGATTTGAGCTTAAATCTGATTGAATCAAGAGTCCTTTTTCTTGTCAATGTTTTCAAGAGTCTGGACTCTAGATCCATCTATTTTTTTTTTCCAGTGTGACACTACCGCGGTGGATGACGTCAAAGGGCGATATCTCGGTTAATATTGAAAGTAGAAAGTTGCAGTTTGGACGCTCCATATTTTCGGACGCATATTTTCAGCTAATCTACAAGAATCAAGTATCACAACACGACTCTGTGGCCAGCGTATTTGACCCATTGCCAACTCTTCTCTGGAGACTTAAACGCAAGGTTAGAAAAGTAAGACAAGTAATTTGTCAGATTAGGGACCCGTCATAAAATACGTTAGGCTTAGTTTTGGATTTTTCGACCCCCTCCCCCTCCCCCCTTGTCGTTTTTGAAACGTACATGTCCCGAAAACGAAGGATTGGGTGAACCATAAAATTTAATATTCACTGGGTCGGATTCACATGGCCCACTCGATCCGATCGAATCCGAGGCGTATATAGATCGTATTCGATACATCAAACTGGTGAGATTGTATCGATATGGATTGGTTCAAAACATAAACATACCCTCAAAAGTAAATTCAGAAATCTGAGAGAACGGGTCTTTTGTAACAGATTTTTTATTCCTTTGAGTACCAAATGTCAATGGAAAGTGAAATTGTCAGGAAATTTCTCATTTTCAGCTTTTCCAACTTAAATCCTTACAGTTTGGTTTAAGGTTAAGTTCTATTGTTTCGAACCAAACGATACATCGAACGATTATCGAATACGGTCACTGCCGTGCTAAGGAAGAACGCCGTATGAGCATTCGAGAGTTGCCAAATTTCCCTTGATAAAACATGTACATTCATGCATATGTTTCATTGAAATTTTCGGATGTTTTAGATTAAATTGCGCACTAAACTGTCTGACATTTTTGGAAACAAATATTCACAATTTTTCCAGTAAATTCAGTCTTTATCGAAGGAGACTTGGCAACATCTGGATGCTCCTACGGCGTTCTTCCTTAGCACGGCTAGAGTCCCTTTATACTGAGAGTCAAGACAATTCGGCTCATGGATGTCACAAACGGGAATAAAGATTACAGAAATTGAACTTTTTCGTAATCTTTGATCGGCCCATTCTCAAATGCCTTTCTCCGTTCCTCCTCTCATTCCGTTTGTTCCTTGCCGAACCCGTAATTCCCTGGTCCATTCCAGATTATAATCTTTGCAATTGGTGAAAATGTAATCTTAATTCCCGTTTGTGACACTGTGGAGGCCTAAAATACGGGAACCAATCAGAAATGGATTCAAATTGTCTTGACTCTCAGTATAAAGGGACTCTAATTGGATCGAGTGGTAAGATAATGAGACGAGCGAAGGGTGGACCAACCGTAGGAGGGAGCTTTCAAAGCAATGTTTCGGCACACGAGACTTGAGTTCTCCGAGAGTGAAGGGTGGTTTGGTCGAAGGGACACGCCTTCGGAGGCCCTGTCCAGGGCTCTGCTCCATTATCCGTACGATCTCTGCCGGATGCAAGTCGTCCCACTCAGAATGTCCACAGCACACCCATCGTCACGCGATTTTTTCTTACTCTGCTTCAAACAAAACTTATATCACGATCGAATGAGCTTTGTTTTAATTGTTCAGTCCTCAGCCGTCACGTGCATGCCTTGCACTTCCTCTAGGTTACGTAAGCGGAACATCCGAGGTTCGCAAATTTACAGTTTTCAATTATACAATTTAAACTACCTCTACTTTAGATACATTATTCATGTAAAATCTATTGAGTGCGCTTGTCTTTGCATGTGTAAATGTCATGGCGGGTTCTAAAATCGTACGTGCGTGACCGTATATGCCTAGATGCCATGCATTTGATTTTTTCAGGATAGAGATTCTCACCCGAGCCGCTCCAGGGTTGGTGCAATGTGCACTAATCGGGAAAACGGATCGTAAAATAACCACCAAAGAGATCGCTGAAGAGAAAAAATTAGCCTAAATGTCACATTAGGTGAATTATTGACGGGTGTCCCAATCCAAAATATTCTAATTCATAACCAATGTATTTAGCTTTCCTTTTGCATAAGGAGTTCCCCATTCCGCGCATATGCAGCGGAAAAGGACAAGTTATCTGAAGCAGCCTCTGCGTAACTAGTTTTTCATGCTAATTTTAACGGTTACTGTTCGTTTAAAAAATTAGACCTGATAGATTTTGCAACCTGAGGAGCAATAAGAGCTTAGCAGACCGGTTGACTCGCAAATTCTCCACCAGATTAGGTTGCCAGGTGGTGTAATAAATGTGCATATTTTGCATCGAGTCATACGGAATAAAATGCTCATCTTACAGCACAATCTGCTCATTACGCGCCAAACCTTGCATAAACTCCATTTTTCTTTTGCTCTACTCTCTCCCCTCCACCTTCCTTTAACACGGAATACTGCCCGTTGATTGGTGGGTATCGGTGATGTATGCACGGCTGTGTAATTGCAAAGGACGAATGATTGTTTTCGTCATCAGCCAGCTACCACCTCTCCAAGACCTGATTCCGCCTTCTGCATATTCCATGCAGTCGTTTCTCAATAATTATTTTTAAAACCGGCTAGAGATTCACGTTTCTGCAGGGGTATTTTTCTCTGGGTTACTTCTTTCGTACTTCTTTTTGCAGTGATGTGAATGGCCGCGAAGTTACTAAGGCACCTCTTTAAAAAAACTATATCGATGGTGGAACTGCAGAAATGCGTACCTCGGTTTGCAGCGTTTTCATGCTTTATTTTCTACATGGAAAACTACTGAGCGTGATTTTTCTTCTCAATATAAAGAATATTCTGTGAAAACTTCATGGTGCTGGTTCGACTCTCCTTTTATAAAAATAAAATAATGGCGGAGAATCGAGACACCGCAACCAAGATACGCATTTTCGCAGTTTCACCATCGATATATACTAATACTACTACATCCTATAACCCAAGAAGCATTTTTCAAGGGAAAAATCGCGGAATATTGCAATTTTATCGGCGATAAAATCGCTAGGATCATCAACATCAGGGACGGATCCAGCAATCTAGCAACAACAGATTCTCTCTATTTAAATCTATGTTAAATAATCGATTCTTCTCGAGGCACCTGACCCCTCCAAGAATCGATACATTTCCATAGGTTTAAATGGAGGAAAACAGTGTTGCCAATTTGCTGGATCCGCCAATGATCAACATCTGAGCAATTATCCTCGCGATCTTGTTGCAACAAAATCGCGATTTTATTGCCCGGCAATTTATCGCGATATTATCGAAACGAAAATTGCGATATATAGAGATTTTATCGACGAAAATTGATCGCGATTTTATCGAACAAAAAATTGCGATACATAGCGATTTCATCGTCATAAATCGCAATTTTTTATTCGATAATATGTGATAATTACCACCGATAAAATCGCTATTTGTCACGATCACTGCTACATGGGATCGATATATTTAGCCGTAATCAACCTAACTGCATTTTACGTTGCCTAATTTTCCTCATCTTTTATTTTTTCAACAAAGAACTTAACGACTTAACGCAAGCAAACTTTCTGTGAATATACCTTAGATTATGAGAAGTATACTCACAAAATGTTTTGGGATGTCAGGAGGGGCATCTCCGGGGGGGGGGGGGCTTCTTAGACGATTGAAAATTTCAAGGAAAAATGATCATGGAATGTGTAAGTTGATTGGATCATATTTTCCCGGAATGAAAAATTTACTTAGTTGGCCGGGGGACCGGGAGCATAAACTCCACATATGGCAACATTCAAATTAAGAGCGGTACAACGATACTTATTGGGGATAAAGGATGATACATTTTCTATCCAGAGAACGAAACGTCATTTGGGACGTCACTGAACATTTGAAGCCTAATTTTGTAGGATTAAACATAACTTAATTGTATTAAAGTTCACTGACGGCTTGTGAATGGCTACTCTTGGCTTCCCTCACGAATCCAGGGTGCAGTCGTATTTTAATGATATTTTCATTAACCCTTAGATGCTGAAGCCCGGTCAAATTGACGGGAGACTTGTTTAAAAAACTGGCCACGCGAGTTGTGAGGGACCGCGGTAGGTACGAGCCGTAGATGTAGGTCTGTAAATATTTGTGCATTCAAAAAAGAATCAAACCTCAAATTGAAAAAAGAAGAAAAAATTGAGGAAAAACAGAGTCGAGACGTAATCGGGCATTTTAAATTTTTTTCTCGAATCTGAGCGACACCTCACTGGCAGCGTAGAGAGGAGCATTGCGAGTTCACGCATACCGCCATCGCGCCTTCAGTTTTGCAGATGCAACACGAACATCCAGTATGTACGAATAGTTGTATCTCTGCGCCGTCATCAACGCGCCTCCTTTTACTTTGCTCTTTTTCCATACTGTGTTTGTTTCGGTTCGTCTTATTTTCATTTTCAGTGGTATTTGTCTGTATGAGCAACACAACCAAAAATAAGAGAGCCGTAATAATCGAGTCTCGTTTCATAACTTTTCTCACGACACTGCACTGGCAGCATAAAGCGGAGCTGCGGAACATTGCGAATTCACAGCTGGCGCCATCGTGCCTTCAAAATTGCAGATGCAACACAGACACCCATCAAGCACCAATAGTTGTATCTCTGCGCCGTCTTTCCATTCGCTCTATTTCCATATTGTGTTAGTTTCGTTTGTCTCATTTGTAGAGGTGCTTCAAGGGCTACTTATGAGCAACACAGCCGAAAATAGGATGTGCCCTAATCAATCATCACTTTGAAAATAAAAAAAATGTTAGAGGTCTCTCAAGAGATCAAAAGGGCGCATACGTCAAAAATTGACCGTACTAAAGTCGCTAAAAGTTTCAGTGTTGTGTAGTTTAGTTTAAAAAATAAATCATCAGAGAAAATTATTTGCACCGTCTAATGTGACCGATCGATTAAATCCGTCCGCATCATCTTCTTATCTTTCACCATGCGTAAAGGTATTGGGAATTCTTATTGTTATTTAGCAACTCTGATGACCGTCGTTTTCATGGAAAAAAAATTGCTGATTCAACAATTCAATTGCTTAAAACAGCGATTGCAATGTTTCAACGCAGATTTTACAACAAAAAAATGCTACTTTAACCACCCCCGTGGTTAAATTAGTTTACAGTGTGGTTAAAGTAGCATTTTTTTGTTGTAAAATCTGCGTTAAAACATTGCACTCGCTGTTTTTAGCAATTGAATTGTTGAATCAGCAATTTTTTTCCGTGTTGTCATGTGCACGTTTTTCCTCTGCGTGATGGAACGCCTCTGTGGTTTTATCCGTTAATCAGAGGCAATTTCATTCGGGCACATTAATAGGTACGGCGCTCTAGAGTCCCTTTATACTGAGAGTCAAGACAATTTGAATCCATTTCTGATTGGTTCCCGTATTTTAGGCCTCCACAGTGTCACAAACGGGAATAAAGATTACATTTTCACCAATTGCAAAGATTATAATCTGGAATGGACCAGGGAATTACGGGTTCGGCAAGGAACAAACGGAATGAGAGTAGGGACGGAGAAAGGCATTTGAGAATGGGCCGATCAAAGATTACGAAAAACGTTCAATTTCTGTAATCTTTATTCCCGTTTGTGACATCCATGAGCCGAATTGTCTTGACTCTCAGTATAAAGGGACTCTACGGCGCTCTAAGTATATTTTCCTCTTCTTTGAATTGCTCAGCTGATGGTGAACGCCTTTGTTCTTGGAACCTGCCACTGTCGTATAACTCTAGAATATTAGTGCTGCTGTGCTCCAGTGATGGGTCAGTTGCGCTGATCACAGAACCGTGTTTTGAAGCTTATTTTTGTAGATTAGCTGAAAATAATGATTTGTAAAGAATGAAAACCAAGGTGTTGTAATGAATATTTATTAATTACCGAGGCACCTTTCGGCTTACGCCATCTTCGGATTAAATATTCATCGGAACATAAATATATCACAGTTATTTTACACTAGTTGTCACAAGCTCAACAATATATACATCATGGACATCATACGGAAAGTCTAAATTACGAGAAAGTCAAATAGTTCAGAGCGTCACTCCTGATAAAATCGTAAACTTTCGAATCATATGCAGCTGATTGTGGCTACGTGCACTCATGTGAGTGAATGTTGAAATTGGTCACTGAAGCATACCTAATTTTATCTATTAAGTAGCGTTTAACTTTAAACTTTGATGTTAGTTTTAAAAAAATGAAAACCTCCTAATGAAAATTACTCCTTGCGAGTACCTAATTTCTACACATCTTGCACATCACACAATAAGCACATTCTTTTCTCAATGCGAAGTAAGTAAGATTCGAGGAGAAAACAATTTTGAACATTTCTAGGTTGCGTAATTATTGCCTTCCTTAATGTGGTGCAGTTGACACACCACCTCAAATGAGTCAAATGACACGAAATTTTAGCTGGTGTATACCGACGCTGAAATTTCGAATAAAAATGTTGGTATGACCTCATATTATTACGTCAATTATAGACTGCTGAAAATCTTTCAAATTGTAGCGATAAAATTATATCAACTAAATGGAAATTCAAGTGTTGTATTTTTACGCTCTTGAGGAAATTACGTTTTTAACCAATATAACTCTAACGCCCCATCAATAAGATTTTTTAAAACAGTAAGTCTTATTTTGCCTTTGAGACAATATGTAATCAAGATATCGGTATCTACTTTCGAGACAACCTGTGTGCGCATTCATTCTTTTCAGAATCTCTGAAAACGATCAAAAAATTTCATCTATGTCATGGTAACTCGTAATCTGTGATCTACATCTTCTTCTTCTGCGTTTAAGTCTCTAGGGTAAAATTGTCAAAACAGAATATCATTTTTTTCACGAATTACCAATCATAAAAAGCGGAATCGGAATATTATTAGATGCTTAAATCAATAAACTCTACGCCGTTTTGTCTCCAATGACGCTCAAAACTTCAAATTTTAAGAATCTGCACAGGGAGAGTTTATTTTTCCTCGAGATCTCAATATCTATTTTTTCGAATCATGCCGACTAAAAATGTACGTCTGAAAAGTTTGCTTTTTGGACCAAGGCCTCTTCATTAGCGGACTCGTCTAAATATCGATGGTGAAACTACATATCTCGTTTGCGTTGTTACATTATCTCCGATTTCATATGATTTAATCGGAGGATCGACCCTCGAGAACGGACCAACTATTGCTAGAAATTTCCACAGAATATTCTCCATACAGAGCAGGAAAATCAGAATAAGTTTTCCAGAATTGACGATGGATATTTTCCCATTTAAAAAATAATTTATGGCAGAAATTCTTCAGCGTCCAAAACCGAGGTAGGAATTTTTGCAGTATGACTGCCTCAGCTCGCTTCGCTTGGCTCCGCACCTAGCCAGAAGGGCGCCCGATTACTCGCTTCGCGAGATGCAGGCAATCTTTTAAGAGCGGATATTGAAAGTTTCAGATTTTTTGTGTGATTTGGATATCAACAGCTTTTGTTTGCAACAAAACTCAAGGAAATCGGCACGGCGATTCCTCAGAATTAAGATTCACAGGGTTTCGACCCATACAGTTTAATTTATATAGATATCACCGTCGATGTTTGATTTTATCTGAAATTTAAAACATATTTATCGTCAAAATAGTGTAAGTTTCCAGAATTACTTCGATGGCCAAACTGCAAAACCACGTATGACGTATCCTCGTTTGCGGCGTTACAGAATACAGACTTCCTGTCAAACTTCAATTTTCATTAGAAAACTAGTCAACTAAACAACTCTTTTGAGTTTTCTTCTCCATTACAAGACTCCATTCTGCGGAAGATGGCAACATGTAGAAATTTCACGCTGTAGTTGACTTTTTTTCTTCGAAAACTTAGAAAACGAGAGGAGATTTTGAAACACTGCAATGGAGATACGTGGTTTCGCACTTTAGTGTCACTTCTCGTACAATTTAACAATTTCGAATTTTACGAGGTCGCACCACTCTGCACCGGTCATAGTACCAGCAAATGCCGCGTTCCGTGTTGCATTAATCGCATGCATCTTCGTGAAGGCAGGAAAACTCGAAGCGCCTTCATTCGTCACTTTATGCAACATGGACAGCGTTGGAGCAGGAATGGTTGCATTTGGCGCCGCGTCCTTTACTTCACATCATCATGTCGAAGAGTCCCTCGTACCAGTAGACCCCTCTCTGGTCGACGTCCTCGCGGACGAAGACGCACTCCTTGACGACTTGGTAGAGGGCTCGATGCGGGGGCGTGGCGTCGCTGTGGTAGTACTCGCCGAGCACGGGTTTCAGCGCCTCCGTCGCCTCGCGCAAGTAGTAGTGCGGGATCCGCGGGAAGACGTGGTGTACCGTGTGGACGTTCTGCCCGTCGTGGAACACCCAGTTGAGCAGCGGCCCGAAATCACGGTCCATCGTGCAGGTCAGCGTTCCCAGGAGCCAGTCCCACGCGCCCTGAATGAATATAAAAATAAAATATTGAAACATTTGAAATAAAAAAAACCTCTCGAGTTTTTATTTTTTGGGATTTTCCTCCTACCTCTTCTCTTTTTTCTTTACCTTGGTATTCTTCTTCTTCCTATCCTTGTTCTAATTGAAAATCATTATTTTGCCAACTCTTTAATGTGCCTCACATGAGTATTTTTTTAATTTCTTCGGGATAAAATGTTTGCATGCACTCTGAACGATTGTAATCTAAGGGTTAGTAGATTATGAATGAAGAGAACCCAGGATGAAGGAGGCTGATTCCTATCCTATGTGGCGGCCAATCACCGCCTCTCCAGAGCAGCGCACCCCGCGCTCGCCCGTGATTGGCCGACACGATCAGACGATCACACCCCGCGCTCGCCCGTGATTGGTCGACACGATCAGACGATCACACCCCGAGGGTATAAGAGCAGCGCCCCCCGCCCGCTTTCATACAGCACAGCCATTTACATGAAGAATCATCCTTTTCTCCCAGGAGGCTGCCACACTTTACCCTTCTCGATCCAGAAATACGCCATAAAACTAGGCAACAATCCATTTCCGGCACAAGGGGCTACACCAAACCAATCAGCAGATAGGCTCAAACCACCAAGAGCCAAGAACTTTGCGGCACCACATGGTATGGCTTGCGCCCAGAAGAAAACCCCCATCTTCAAGCCCAAATCAAGAAGGCCAATTCAGCGATCACAAGGCCTACACCACAATGCAGGCCTTCATATCCATCCCCCCAAACCTCGAATCTTCACCATCCCTAGATATCAACTCCATTCAGTTCTGCCCGAAATATTTTCATTTGCCCCACCCATTCACCAATTTAATTTCATTCCTACCCCTCACCCCAAAATTTGTCAACTGTGCCTCACTTGCTCTTCTCTAGGTACTTCTAAATTAAAATCGCGCTAACCATGTAGTCACCTCTCTTGCCCCTGCCAGGATATTCCTGTAAAGCACACCGTTGCCGGACTGGCCAAACAGCAAAACACTGTGGAGAATAAAAGTCGATTCCTCCAAGAAGCCAGGGAGACATGCCCGGAAATCATTCCAATATTCAGATGGTTCAGCCATCAGTCAAGTGTCTTTCATCACCACTATAACGGCCCTTCTTAGGGCCACCACATCTCTTGAGCACCCACATCTACATATATGGAGTTGGAGTCATAGGACAACCCTCCTCACTAGAGAGTGCGCCCCCTTCGCCTCTCTCCCTCCTTCTGGATCCGCCTATGAATTTCAATATCCATGGTACCGTCATAGAGTTCAATAAAATTCACTGGAGCGCCGATGAAGTCAATCCATGAGCGGGCCATTCCGAGCCCCTTGTTTACCGGAAAGTGGGGACCATCCGGCATTTTTTAACACGGCGGCTTATGGGAGAATCGCGGGCTGCGAGTGGTTTCTGGGATGTATTCATTTGAATCAATCATTATTTCCGCGAATTTTGGCAAATCGTGTTCACCGAAGTCATAACAAATTCAAAAATGTACAACACTCCCGGTTTTTATGAAGTAAATTTTATACCTGTATTTTCTGAACGAAGGCCGGAGCTGGGACCCCGCGTATACGGCATCGTCAGTCGCATAGAGTCGTAATGTAAGTGGGAGAGCTGGCGCCATGTTCTGCTCGACGAGTTCCGAGCCCGGTGTGCGGGGTCACTTTTTCGATACATATTCGATCCAAAATGGCGGTGTAGAATATGGCCGGGTCCCCGTGTATCGCAAACAATCGATTATGTATCGAAAAAGGGACCCGGCGCCGCACAGGAATCTTGGAATTCGGAACCTGGGAAATGCTTAAAAGTGGCGCCAGCTCTCCCACTTGCATTACGACTCTATGTACTCTATGGTCAGTCGCCGCACACTAGTCTCAGGAGTACTGGACAAAACATGCAGCCTCAAAAAGTGACTTCACCAGCGCTCCAGAACAATGCGACTCTATTGTGCTCTGTGGGTGGGTACCATCCGTAAATTAAAAGGAAACGAGTATTGAAACTAACCTCATCATAATGTGCCAGGGCCGGGTGGGAGTGGTTCAGAACGGAGGTACAGACTAGCCAAGCGTTGAGCACCGTGTACGGGACCCAGTAGCGAGCGACAAGCCAGGCGATGCCATGCGAGTGCGCTAGCCAGGCGAGCGCGGCTAGCACGGCGAGCACGCCGGCGTCGGAGAGAAGCACCCAGGGGCGCATCCGACGCGGGATCATGGGGCTGAATGGCGAGAAGTGGTTGTTGCGTCGCGGATAGCGGCGTCCGGAGGTGTTGAACAGCAGGTACGCCGGGAACCCTATCGTCAGCATGAGCAGGATTATAAGGATCCGGCCCAACGGGTTGTTCAGGAACCTGCAAATTAAATCAATGGAAAGCTTTCGGAGGAACCAAGGTGGCTCAAAGACAACATTGAAATTGATAGACAAAGCAATAGACAAAGAAGACAAAGCGGATTTGGAGGGATTCTATCGGTAGAAGCGGGTGGTTGCAATGGACAAAGGAGGTAGGTAATAGACTAACTAAAGGCAACCCACGAGAGACCCGACAGTTAGTCTATCATTTTCTCCCTTAGTCTATGAGAACCACCTATTTCAACCAATAGGATTGCTTTATACCCCCGATGTCTTCTTTGTCTATAGCTTTGTCTATCAATTACAATAATCGGCCCGCAGGCCAGGTGGCATTTCTGTCATCTCTTGAATTTTATTTTTCGGCCAGGACAGCTCAATATTGCTTCAAAAACGTCTCAATTTTTAAAATTTTCCCAGAGAGGCTCCCCAAAACTTCATTCAGAAGTCAGAACTGAGGAAGATATTCTATACAGCACTCCCCAATTTTGTATTACGATGCCCCCCCCCCCCTCCTTCGACCCACGTGTTGGGTTATTTTTCTACCTCTCCCCTTCATCAAAAACTCTTCACTCCGTCCATATGATTATAACCAGAGATGGAAAATTTCATGAAATATATTGAAACTTCTAGGGATACACTTAGGAGGGTGAGAAACGCCTAGAAACAATGATTCTAAATTTTGGAATTTTTACCCCAAGCCTAAAACATTCGCGCAATAGCAACTCAGGGCCACCACATCTGAGCACCTATAGGCTCCTCATACGCACGGGTTACGGAAGTGAAAACAAAGTTTTGTTGGGCAAAAACGTGTCGTATTACACTGAAAGAAGTTGCGGGTTCTATAGACATGACATCCGTTCCGGAAGTAGAGGCCGAAAGTTCCGGATGCTGCATGGAGCCGTAGCACAGACTGCTCCAGGTGCTACACCTGGAACTTTCGGCCTCTGATCCCAGAGGGCGGACGGTAGGTACGCCTACAGCTGTAAGGGCGGCTTTTCACGGCCGGAGTTTTTTTTCAGTGTATCGAATATCGATGTATCGATGTATCGATGTATGGATGGAGCATTAAGACATTTTTCGCCATTTATCAAAATTTGAGCTAGACAATCATTCGTCTTTTGACCAGATAAGACGAACACTATTTCGTATTTCACCAGTTTTTACTCTTCATTCTAAATGCAGTCCAATTCTTATCAGCAGAGACGGATCCAGCAACTTGGCAACACCGGATTTCCTCCATATAAACCTATTCTAGATAATCGATTCTTGTTGGAGCACCTGGCCCCTCCAAAAATCGATAGATTTCCATAGGCTTAAATGGAGAAAAGACAATGTCGCCAAATTGCTGGATCCACCAATGCCGATCAGTTTTCTAGACCATCACATTACCTCTTGGATCTTGAAGGTTTCTGCTTGGGAACGAAGACCTCATCCCTCTCCAGCGTGCCGGTGTTGGCGTGATGCTTGACGTGACCGCACTGCCACGGGAAATAGGGCACCGCCACGCAGGAGAACACGACGAAGCCGATGGTGTCGTTGAGCCAGGCGTGGGCGCTGAAGGCGCCGTGGGCGCACTCGTGGCCTAGGAACCACAAACCGAAGCCCACGCTCCCGGCAGCGACCCAGTACGCGGGCCACGCCACCCACTGCAGCGGCCACGCCAGGAGAGGGATGTAAGTGTCGGCCACGTGGTAGAAGGCGCTCAAGAGGACCAGATCTCGCATCAAGTAGTATAAGGACCTGCCGATAGAAATAAGTTGCAACTGATTAACGCCCTCCTGCGGACTGATTATTGAAATTGATAGACAAAGCGCTAGACAAAGAAGACATAGGGAGTATGGAGCGATCCTATTGGTTGAAATGGGTGGTTCCTATAGACAAAGGGAGAAAATGATAGACTAACTGTCGGGTCTCTCGTGGGTTGCCGTTACTTAGTCTATTACCTACCTCCTTTGTCCATTGCAACCACACGCTTCCACCAATAGAATCTCTCCATATCTCTTTTGTCTCCTTTGTCTATAGCTTTGTCGATCAATTTCAATGATCGGCCCGCTGAACAGTGACGAGGCGTGAAAGATCGACTATCGATATTTCTCCATTTGAAGCTCTGGTGAAGAATCGATTATGAAGGTGTTCGCTGCGAACACCCTGTCTATCGATCCTTTTTCATAGCTTTAAATGGCAAATCAATCGATATATCGCAAAGCACGCCATTTCACTGTCCTGAAAAATTGTCCGGATGAAAAAAAAATACCCCTGGTTTCACGATTCAAAAACCGAATTCCACAAAAAATCGATCCAACAGGAGCTGTAATAGCATTTCAGCTGGCTGATACTTGGAATTGACAGACGAAGAAGACAAAAAGGATGTGGAGGGATCCTATTGGTGGAAGCGGGTGGCTGCAATGGACAGAGGACGTGTAGGTAATAGACGAACTAACGGCAACCCACGAGAGACCCGATAGTTAGTCCGTCATTTACCCCTCAGTCCACAAGAGCCACCCATTGCAACCAATAGGATCGCTCTATACACCTTATGTCTTCTTTGTCTATAGCTTTGTCTATTTTCAACGATCGGCCCACAGGCCAATTTCGCCGTATGGATTTGCAAATGTTGAAGATGTTACTAAAAATTCGAGCTTTTCGTCGAAACTTATCAGCTGCTACCGAGTCTCACAAAAAACGATCGAACAGGAGCCGTGATAGCATTTAAGGTTGCCTTCGTTATCTTGGATTTTAGAGGTTTGGTGATCTGACTAAAAATGTAACAGTTGTAATTTATATTCTGAATTATTGTATATTCTAATTCCTAGCGGTTTTTGACCTGTGCCATAGCTCTAATAATGGGGCTCTCATGTACGTATGTCATAATAAATAAATAAATAAATAAAAAATGCAAGTTCCCCGTCATAACCCCCTCTCCCCCAACCCCAACTCAAAGTCCCTCCTGATACCAAGTTTCATAAAAATCGATTGAACAGGAGCCCAGATAGCATTTCAGGCAATTACTAGGCAAATAAATGGAGGAAGTCGTTCAAGTCCCTCGGATGCTAACGGCAACTATTCAAACATAGCCGTCGGCGGATTGCATACTCGCCGTTTTGGAGGCGTGATCAGCGTGCGCTAGAGACTCTTCGCGCTCAATAAGAAGAAAAACGCTCCGTGGGGGGACGGAGACTCTCAAATTATCTAAAAATAAGGCTTTCGCTTGTCCGTTATCCTTGGATCATTATTAGAAATGAATAAAATTTAATAATTATTATAATGATTAAAAAATTAATGTATGACTCATTAATGTATTAATTATTCACCGTGGGAGGGATCGTTCAAAGCAATGCTGAGGTATAAGACCCTTCAGTTCTCCAAGGGTGAAGGGGGGTTTGGTTGTGGGGGCGCGTTTCTTATGGGGTCGCCAAGGGACCTTCTCCTTTATTTGCGGCTTGAATTCGTAACCTATGGCACTCAACATGTTTACACCCATGGTTTTGACCTGAAAACAAGAAAAATTCTAGTTATTTAATGAGATTAAAATATTAACAGTTAATTTAAAAAAAAAAACTCCAGTCTTTAGCGTTCGCTGGAAATTCCGTAAGCCCTATCCAGGCCCGGACTTGGGGCGTATGCAGGGCGTGCGGCGCACACGGGCGCCAGCCTTTGGGGGGGGGGGGGGNNNGAAAGAAGAAGAGAGAGAAAGGGGGGGGGGGAAAGGAAAAGGAAAAAAGGAAAAGGAAACAAGGTTGGGCAGTGAAAGCAAGGAAGAAGGGGGGAAATGGAAGGAAAAAGGAGGCAAGAAAAGTGAAAAGAGAGTCCGCGAGAGAGGGGGGGGGGCATAAAAACCATAGACAAAATATAAAGAGAATTGCCGTCTAAAGGTAAATTTTCAGGACAAAAACTCCACCTGGTCCATAGACGGTCAGGCGCCCCTTGATCCTAAATATGCGGCTGTTCAGAAATACAAGAGTAGGCATGTAGTAAGGGGTCGCCATAAATCCATCGAACAGGAGCCGACATAGCATTTTAGGCCACGTCCGCCATCTTGGATTTGAGAATTTTCAAAAATCAACTAAAAATTCGAGTTTCCCGTCGAAAAGTCCCCCTGATCCCGCGGTTCACAAAGCTCTAACGAACAGAAACGGAGGCCAGAACCGGGGCTCATTTTAGGCCACATATAACATTTTGGAGTTAAGAAATTTAAAAAGTTGACTAAAAATTCGAGTTTTCCGTTGAAAAATACCGTGTGATACCACGTTTCACAAGACTCGAACAAACAGAAACCGAGATAGCATTTTAGCCCACGTCCGCCATCTTGAATTAGAGAATTTTAAAAAATGGACTAAAAATTCGAGTTTCCTGTCGAAAAATACCTCCTGACACCGAATTTCAGAAAAATCCATCGAACAGGGGCCGAGATAGCATTTTAAGTCATTTCGGATTTTCGAATTTTGAATTTTTTGAATTTTGACAGATTTTGATTTAAAACGCGTGATCCCCAAAATTGAAGCTCAGATTCGGATTCCTCGTAAAAAATCGATGCAATTTCATGTATCATACCCTGACACCGAATTTCAGGAGAATCCGTCAAACAGGAGCCGAGATGGCATTTTAAGCCACTTCAGTCATTTCAGATTTTCGAATTTGGAAAATTTGACTTAAAACGCGTAATACCCAAAATCGAAGTTCAGATTCGGAGTCCTCGTTAAAAATCGATGCAATTTCATGTATCATACCCGAGCATAGCGTGAAGCGGAAAGAGACGGAACGTAGACATACTGATTCGAGCATATGAATGCAATGTGGCAACATGGGTAGTGCTCAGTGGGTCAGCGGAGGAGGAAGAATAAGAATTTATCGTGAGGAATTCCTCGGGACGAAAACGAACGCTTGTTAGCGCCGCGGCGGCGTAGTTCAAAGGGGCGGTATAACAGAATCTATACGCGTCGTTAAACCTTTTTCCTTCACGCTATTCTAACATATGATACATGTAATCTCATCAATTTTTCACGAGGAATCCGAATCTGAGCTTAGATTTTGGATATTACGCGCTTTAATCTATTTGAAATCGTAGGAGTAATTACAGAATTGTCCTTGAAAATTGATCACACATTAGTGTTTTTATACGTCTATTAAGCATCTTTCCTTCACGCTATTCTAACATATGATGCATGAAATCTCATCAGTTTTTCACGAGGAATCCGAATCTGAGCTTAGATTTTGGATATTACGAGTTTTAATCTATTTAAAATCGTAAGAGAATTTACAGAATTGTCCTTGAAAATTGATCACACATTAGTGATTTTTTACCCCGTTTTTCTTCTACGTTCACGTAATGAAATTAGATGTGCAACTTAGGTCCATTCTTTGCAAGAAGTAAACTTTGCGAAGGTAATTTTCGTCTTGAATTCATAGTTTATTGGGAGTAGAGGTGAAACTAGTTTAGATGATCGTTTATGTTTGCAAGGTTAGCGACATTGGAATGCTCTTGCCCCGAGCCCATGAATCAAAATTCAGCGGGGATCGCCGCACAGTGCGGCCCTCTGTGGACAAAAATTCAAAAAAATCACAAGTCGACATTTGAATATTTTTTTGGAGTTTGTGATTTTACAGATATTTTTGACTCACAAGGGTGATTTATTTTTAAATTTTTCCCACAAAACTCCCTTAAACTTGGGTAGAATGTGGGCGGCAAATGGGTCGAGAAACACTGGTCCATAAGAAATACACGGGAAAAAGACGTCGACTTCAAATTAAGATTTCTCGCTTGAAACGCAAAATGTCCTGGGCGGTTGACATTTCCTAATCCTCAGATATCTACTTCAATTCTACCAAAAAGATCTTACGACTTTTCGCGACTATCGGAGATATTTGAAGTTAAAGTTTGGGTGTTTCACGTTGCTTTTCGAGGCTAATTCGACGCTGCCAACTTCAAATTAACTTTCCTCAAAAAGTACGCAAAGAATCCTGAGATGTAACATTTTGTCATTCCTCGACTATCTTCAATATTTGAAGTTAAGTGTCTTCAACCGATTTTTGTCCGCATTGCTCATACGGATGCCGCACTGTGCGCCGGGCCGATTTGGGCGCGGATGGCACCGGCTTAACCGCCCCGGTCCCCCGATGGCATGTCTGTGAAGTTAGCACCCCGACTTTTAAAATTTAAAATTTTCTCTTTTGCTCATCATTGCTCATCATTTGCTCACCTAGAAAATCGCTTTCATTTTTACGCCGGCAACGGCACCGGACGGCGCACGGCAGCCGATTCATCAGCTTGCCGAAAAAAAAACCTCACGAGGAAAACTAAATCCTTGCATCTCCTCGCGGGACGAACGGGATAACCGATCCTTCCAAGGACGCAAGGGATGCGGGGCATTGGCGGATCCAGCAATTTGGCAACGCCGGATCTCTTTCATTTAAACCTATGAAAATGTATCGATTCTCGGAGGGGCCAGGTGCTCCGGCAAGATTCGATTATTTAGCATAGGTTTAAATGGAGGAAATCCGGCGTTGCCAAATTGCTAGATCCGCCTCTGATGCGGGGCCCGCCGCGCGATCCCTCTATCTTTTATCTTTAATCATTGTTTTTAAAAAGCTAGACACAGTTTTTCTCAAGAGTTTCTGCGAATTTCCTTAGGTCTTGTCTCCACGGGACGTTTTCATGGGATTTGTCCCAAGTTCGAATCGCAGGAATGAAACTTCTGGGATTTTTCCCAGTTACCGTCTCCACGGGACGGGGCTTATACAGTCCTGCGACTAGTTTGCGCGGGAAGATAAATTAGTTAAAGTCGAGTATTTAACCAGGATTAAAATAATAATTGCACTCAATTGACAATCAGACACATTATTTTAACTAAACAAACATGAACAATGCAGTAATGAATAAAATATTGCATAATTCGTTTTCACCTCTTCTTCTTCTCTCAGTGGGTCCTAGGGATACAAGTACCATACTTGGTACTGGGAAAAATGTTGATTAACTCAATATTTTTCCCAACTTCGTAAGTGGGATTTTTCCCGGGGACAAATATCGTGAAACGGCTCGTGGAGACAAGGCCCTATATGATTGCAAGTAAATCAGAGAAAATCTCGACGCGATATTTTCGTTTGTTTTATTACATTTTTTTGTTTTAAATTAGGAAAAAATATAACATCGTCCGAGTTCCTGAATTGTTATGATTAATATATACTCATTTCCCCTTTGATTATCGTTAAAACTGGGCTAAAAGTCAAGAATAATGACGCATCGTTCTAGTTTTGCGGCGATTTTAGCGTCACGCGAGCGGGGGTAACGATCGAGTCGTCCTTCGGAGTGTGACGCGCCTTCAGTCCGGCTAGCGGCAATATGCCTACACCCGTGGTCGAATAGTTATCTCGTTACGCCTGCCGTGAATGAAATCAAATATCGACGCCTGCACCTGCGGATCATTTTCCAACTCACACCTCAGTCGCATTTCCCTATTACTAACATGGACTCGACACCGCTCGATGCGCCGCACTGTGGATCGAGTCAATGAGAGGTCGCACATGAAATTTTTGACTAAAACTGTACATTTCGGTGTATTTTCCGAAGAAAATACACTATTTTATGTTTATTTCGTCACATTTTAAATTTCAACGAGTGGCTGTAGAAGAAAATTTTACGAGGAAACCATTTAAACCACTTTTAGAACCTTAACGTTTTCTATAAGCGGAGTTATGAGCGTTTAAAGTTTCCAAATTTTGGCCGACCTCTCCTGTATTGACTCGATCCACTTTGTGCCGTGCGGAGGGGTAGCGAAAAACATGCCCGCGCTTTGCCGGCCGCCCATGCTTTACACACGAGTTTTCTACGACTGAAAATATCAAAATTGCGAGATAATGACGTACAGTACTCAGTAGAACGATCCAATGGTCGAGGTCGGACATGAAATTTGCAACTAAAACTGGCAAATTTTGATGTTTGATTCGTCTGAAGGACCAGTAGATGAGGAGTAATGAGGGATATTTAAAAAAAAGCAGGAACATCTCCACGATCCTTCGAGGATTGCGGGCTCGCGTTGTACACAGCTTGGGTATTGTGTACACCGCATCGCGGATGGTGGGTATATGACACCGAGAAATTACAACGATTCAAGCGCGCACCCCACACCGCGCTGTGCGCTCAAGGCGTCAAGTGTTCACGCATACTTCACGTGCATTAACTTATGCATATGGGTGCATTAACTTAAGTAATAAGTACCTACTTTACGTCTTCAGTATTATAGGCGCAAATAAGCGTTGCTCGCCATGTGACCGACTGCACTGCGTTTGGCGCAATGCGGGAAGTATTCCTCCAGTCTTGTAGGCGCTGATATATGTTTCATGTCGAGCGTACTGTTTAGCGCAATGCGTGAAGTATTCCTCCAGTCCTGCAGGCGTTGGTACGCGTTTAATGTCACGTCGGCCGCACTGCGTTTGACGCGATTATTCAATGAGCATTCCAACGTTGCCTCTCTTCTCCCGATAAAATATTTTTTC